GTGTGTGTGTGTGTGAGAGAGAGAGAGAGAGAGAGAGAGAGAGAGCACGAGAGCGAGAAAGCAAGCTGCCAGGTCTGGGACTCAAACTGTGGTCAGCCATGTGGGAGTTCAGTGCCTTTAATACCATGCCACCTGTCTGCCCGTATTTTTAGGATTTTTTTTTTTTAAGATTTTTTGGCACACGTATGTGTACTCGTGTCCTGCATGATTTTCAAGTCACCAGGTCTGGTCCGGTACTTGAACCATACAGTCAGCTGTGTGGGAATCCAGAGCTTTAACCACCACATCATTTGCTGGCCCTCAGTCAAGCTTTCTCCAGTCTGCCTCCAAATATCATTCAAAACCATCCAGTTCCCTCCACCCTCAACGCCACTACATTAGTATAGCTCTTCATGATTTCTCCACTGTAATTGCCTCCTGGTAACTTCCCATCCACTTTTTTTTAATTGAAAGATTAAAAAAAATTTTTTTTAATTGCTAGAGGACACATGTACTCTGAGACAGAGGGAGAAAGCAGCTCCCTGATGGGGCATGGTCACACCACAATTCCATCTCCTTCACTTCTCATACTGTAGGAATTTGGGCCAAATTAAACACACATACCCAGCCTGTTTTTCAAGCCACTGTGTCTGCGACTTCAATCGAGTGGTCGGTGATGTGAGCCTATCTAGCTCTCTTAACCACCAGACCACAGGCTGGCCCTCCTCTTGATAGAAATTTCTCAGTAGCTTTTTTTTGTTTTCTCCTCTTTTTGATAAACATTTTATTTCAAATCTATAGAAAGGTTGCAGAACTAGTGAACTATCCTTCACTTAATCAATCTATTAACATGTCTTTACTTAGTTGTGTCACACTCTATAGTATTAGTTACTAAACCATTTGAGAGCAAGTTACAGACCCTCTACCCCCCCCCAAATACTTCAGCATTTATTTCTTAAGATAAGGATGTTTTCTTACATAATCATACTACAAGTGTCAAAATGATGAATGTTAAGAAAATTAACCTCATTCAATATTATTATCTAATATATAGCCCCATATTCAAATTTCACTCATCATCCAACTAATGTTCTTTAGGTTAGGAAACAATTCTCCATGAATATTTTCTAAGGGCTTCTGAGAGAAAATTTCTGGTTACTTGGGTTAAAGATGACTAACAACCCTATGGATAGAGACTCCTATATCTCTCTCCAGAGCTATTTATTTACATTCCACAATGGTAGGATAGACCTTTTTCTTACCTCTCCTTAGAATTTTACATTCCAGAGAAAAATCTATCTTTGGAGAGAAGAATGGGCAGCTGTGAAAGCCATTCTAGATAAACTTTGAGATTCTTAATTTTGGAGTTTCTCTCATGTGGTACAACACCACTATACATGCAGGTGACATCAGTCCCTTGGTCTGTCCCCCTACAGGATAAGGCACAGAAAACTGGTGCTCATGGGACCAGCAGTTAGTGTAATGGCTATGTCGCTGGACTCCCATGTAGTCGACCGTGGTTTGAGTCCTGGACCTGGTGGCTTAAACTCACACCAGGCGTGTGTGTGTGCAGGTCCAAGATCCTGAGGAAAATGGAGAAGGGATTGCAGCATGGCCATACCCTCCCTGGGGGTAGGGTGGGGTGGTGATTTCTTGCTTCCTGTCTGTTTCTTTCTGGCTAGCACACACACCCTATAGCAAAAATCTCTCTCAAAACAAAAACAAAAACAAAGAAAAAAAACAACCCAACTATGCAAGGGATAGAGAGCATCCCATGCCCTTTCTAATTTAGGACTCAACACTTATGGCTGTCTCTGTCTCTCCATCTCACATACCCTATAGCAAAAACCTCTCTCCAACAAAGTTTCATCCATACCCTTACTCTATACCTACCTATTTTGTTGTGTATTTGAGAGGTTTTAGCTATAGGGTTGTTTTTTTTTTTTTTAAAAACATGTTTATAGACCACAGACTAGTTTATTTTTAACACCCATCAAGAATTCATAGGGAATAGGTTCCAGTAGCTCAGGCTCCTTTCCATTGGTTCTCACAAAGTGTGCTTCTCTGGGTGGAGCAGGCTGGCGCTTTAGTTGAACCCAGGTACCTTTCTCTTTGGCTTCTTTCTTTTTCTGGTCATTTTCCTTCACACGTTTTAGGAAGCTATCACTGTTCTTAGAATGCTTAATATGCTCAATATGCACATGAATTCTCTTGGCAAGAATCTTGCCCTTGTTTGTTCACAACAATGCCAACAGCATGCTGGGTAACACTGTAGACTCTTCCAGTTTTGCCATGGTAACATTTGTGGGGCATTCCTTTTTAAACAGTAGTACCATCCCCTTAATGTCTACAATATCACCTTTCTTGTAGATTCGCATATGTGTTGCCAAAGGAACAACTCCATGTTTTCTAAAAGGCCTAGAGAACATATATCGGGTGCCTCTCCTCTTTCCCTTTGTGTTCATTGTTTTGGTTAATTACTGGAAGATGGCGGTACCGGCTAAAAGGTTTTTTTTTTTTCTTTTTTTAAGGGAGATATTGGTGTAGGGTGCATGTGTTTGCTGGAGAGACAGAAAGTAAGAGATCACCCAGAGGAGGGGGATGGCCAGGCTGCAATCCCTTTTCCTCCATTCTATTGGGCATGCACGCACACATGTCCGGCATGAGTTTTAAGCCACTCGGTCTAGAACCCAAACTGCAGTCAACTACATGGGAGTCCAGCGAGGTAATCATGCCATCTGCTGGTCCCATGTCTATCTACTTTGAAGGCAAGAATATTTTTTCAGGTTGAGAATTTGAGGATCTTCTTTATGCACTGTCTAGAAAAGAGGCAGGTATAAAAATAGATAACAAAAAATACTGGTTCTCTGTATGTAAGAAGCCAACCATTAATAGCTGTTATCAATAGAAAAAAAGGGAACACTGAGTAGAAATCCTGAGTATCTAATATACGATCAAAAGAGAAAAAGAGGAAGTATATACACAAAAAGTTTTATGGATATTGATAAAAATGAAAGCACTGAATAGATGATTCCCTCCTTGGTAATTTTCAGAAATGAGATCCACAGAACTGTCAAAGCAGAAGAAACTTTAGATTTAGAAACATTTCATATGGGACCAGCAGATGGTGTAATGGTTACGTCACTGGATTCCCACATAGTTGACCACAGTTCAAATCCTGGACCTAGCGACTTAAAACACACGCCGGGCACGCACGTGTGTGCGCCCAAGATCCCAAGGGGAGGACGGAGAAGGGACTGTAGCATGGCCATCCCCTGCGGAGGTGTGTGATTTCTCACTTTCTGTCTGTCTCTGTCTCTCCGGTGAGCACACAAACCCTGTAGCAAAAATCTCTCTCATATGAATGATGATTAAAAAAAAAAAATCTCGTATGAATGATGATGAACTTCAGAACTTCAGAGGTAACTTCAGTCAGGTAACCTGTCTAAGGTCACATAATTAATGTCAAAGTATAGACTAAAACTCAAATCTTTGGACTTCCAAATAGGTGTTTTTTTTCATCTGCTATCCTGCGTATCTCCTATCTGTCCCTAACCATTAGAAGTGGTCCCTCTAACTCTCTCTGTCCCATAATGTGCCCTTTTGGGACAGCTAGAGAAACAGACTTCTGGAACATGGGAAGTATGTAGAGCTACTGATTTAATAATGGAGGACATATTATTTCAAACAATAACAGTACTAAAATTAATTTGGGGATATGGAGTAGAGGAGTAATACAAAAGGAAATTCTGTAGACAGTAAGAAAAGCACAAGAGGAAATATTCTCCTCTTTTGTACTGTTGTTTTATTATTTTTTATTTTGTTGATAAGCCCATATATTATATGAAACATAACAGGAAAATGAACAAATTTATCAAACCAATTTAGGTGTTTGGATGAAGTCACAAGAGCTTTGTCTTCGTGTCTATAGATCTCTCAAAATATTGCTGGTCTTGCACATTAGATATCAAAGAAAGATATCTAGCTTGAAACAAAAGTTGGTATGCTGTAGGGTTAAGCACAGTTAATTTGATGATGGGCCAGGAAATAACAGATTTTCTAAATCTTATCTATAAATATTGCTTATAACAAATGCTGATATAGCAAAATGCAAGCTTTTATTAGACAGCAAGAGGGAAACTTGATTGAATGAATTCAACTTACCTCCAAAGTCCTCTGAAAGGAGGTGAAAAAAATAAATAACTGTGTTTTAGCAGTGCTCCCCCCCAAAGCATTATTCTAAGCATGCAGGAGGTATGAGCAGCTATAATAGTAATATACAACCCAGAGGTAGGTTCAAGGCCAAAAGTAGGAGAGCATTTGAAGAAATCCTCTTGGAGCCAGTACCATTTTATAGAAAGCCCATCTGTGCTGGGGGATGAGCCTATGGCCTATTTTCTTCTAATTCAAAAGGACATTCCCAGTTTCAACCTTGCTGAAGAGAGGCATTTTTGCACCTACTACTAAGAACAGCTAGGATACAGGATAAGGCTGGCATAAAATTATTTAGCAAGCACATGCTAGCTATTCCAGTCTGAATCTAACAAATTACAAAATCAATGGGAAATAAAAAGTTAATGATGGAGCTGCTGTTCTTCAAGGTGAAAGAACAAAATCTTACAAAAGAGGGATTTAGGCACTCACTTAACTCTACATGGAGAACATCCTTCTCAAGCTAAGTGGAATATGAAGAAGAATATTACCGAAGGCTGACCAGGCCATTTGGTGACCAAAAAGAGGAGGGAAAACGTAGGTAGGAAGAAAGCTAGTAACAGAAACTTTCCTGGGTCTGACTAGATTAGTGATCTAAGGCAACCAACCAAAGACAGACTACCCATTATTCCAGCATGAAGCTGGTGGCAAAATATCTCAAGACACTTAAAACCAGAGAAATGTATGAAAACTCTGATAGTAAACCATGGAAATTAAAACCAAACCTCCAAAGGTAAAAATATCTTCAGATCTGAAATCCAAGATACTCACTTTTTATTAATTCTGTGCATTATTGAAAAAAAAAAAAGTAACAAGTGTAAAGATCTGTTTTATTTCTACTGGGAAAAAGAGGAGGATAAATAGAACTGTTTTCCAATTTGCTTTCCACTGTATACACACATACTCACACACATACATACACATACATTCACCAAAAATACCCCAACAACAACAACAAAAAATCAAAAACCAAAACACCCTCAAGCTGCACCAATACTTCATATTTTGACCAAAAGAATAGATCCTGGGAGGAAGTGCAAAATGCAAAATCAAATGACCAAAAAATGCTGAACAAACAGCATTATTAATATACAAAATATTTATATTACTGAACTAGTAACAGGTGATGTTCTCTGTGTCTGTAAAACTTTGGAACCACATAGCTGATTTGTTAAATCTAGTCCATGCCAGCTTCCAAAACCAGAAAAGATTTTAGTTAGCTTCGTTCTTTGATGCCTCATCAAAGTTTTCTACAAGATCTGGAAAAAATAAAATAAATAAAATAAATGGATGAGATAAATGAAATTCCTAATTACTAATCCCAATTGACAAAAAAATTGTTACAACTAGAATTAAGTCTGAAAACATGCAGGACAATTGGTAGACATGAACTGGTGCTGGTGGCATTTCATTAAAAATGATTAATTTATTTGCTTAAAATAGTATCCTGGGGCCAGCAGGTGGCATGGTGGTTAAGGCACTGGACTCCACCATGGATGAATACAGTTTGAGTCCTGGACTTGCTTTCTCACTTTCTCTTTTTCTCTCTGGTAAGCACGAAACTTTTTTGGAGAGGTTTTTGCTACAGGCCACATATGCTCGCCAGACAGACAGAGAGAGAGACACACACAGAAACCAAGAAATCACCCCCCAGGGGGGATGGCCACGCCGCAATCCCTTCTCCATTCTCCTCTTGGGATCTTGGGCACGCATGCACACGTGCCTGGCGTGAGTTTAAGCCACTGGGTCTAGGACTCGAACCACGGTCGGCTATGTGGGAGTCCAGCAACATAGCCATTACGCTAACTGCTGGCCCCATTATTATTATTATTATCTTAAAATTTTACCAGAGAAGAGAGAGAGACAGAAAGTGAGAAAGCAGGTTGCCAGGTCTGAGACTTGAACCGTGGTCAGTCATGTGGGACTCCAGCATCTTTAATCACAATGCTACCTGCCAGCCCCCAAATAAATAATTATTAAAAAATAAATAAATAAAAAAACAGTAATCCTAAATAAGTGTCCATCTTTTTTTTTTTTTTTTTTGAGAGAGATTTTTGCTATAGGGCGCATGCGCTCGCCAGACAGAGAGAGACATAGAGACAGAAAGCGAGAAATCACCCCCCAGGGGGGATGGTCACGCCGTAATCCCTTCTCCTTCATTCTCCTCTCGGGATCTTGCGCACGCATGCACATGCCCCCGGAGTGAGTTTTAAGCCACCGGGTCCGGGACGCGAACCGCGGTCAACTACGTGGGAGTCCAGCGGCATAGCCATTACGCTAACTGCTGGTTCCTTCCATCTATTTTTTTTGCCTATGCAAACTACTAAGGTGAATAACATTTTCACATTAGTTATAATTTCCACAAAAATGTTACAACAATGACTACGCAAATTAATAATCATTAATTTCAATTTAATAAATGCAGGCAGCAGTGCTTTTTGTGACAATCTGATGCTAATTTTTTCCCCCTGTATTTATTTTTTAATTTGTCCAGAGAGGAACAGAGTGAGAGAGAGATACACAGAGAGGGAAAGTGAAAAAGTAAGCCACCAGGTCCAGGACTTGAACTGTGGTTGACCATGTGGGAGTCCAGCACCCTTAATCACCAAGCTGCCTGCCAACCCCTCTGATGCTAAATTCTAAATGGTGGGATAAGGTAGGACTTTTATTCTTTTTTATCAGATTCTATCCACACTGTATCAATTTATTAATAAATTCACAATTCACAAGTCGACAATGAACAAAAACTTGAGAGTCATCTCTGTAACAAATGAAATGAGATAAAACAGGATGCTAAAAGTCCTAAGATCAAAGAAATGCCACTTACCTGGAACATCGTCATCCTCTTCATCGATGTCTTCTGGTTTTGGTGCTTTGCTATCCAAGACTACAAAAAGTTTATTTTAATATTAGTTACTGAGAGAAGAGTTCTTTATATAACACTTGTAATGTTATCTTTTTTCCTGTCTAAATTTCATTTAGTTGCTCAGAAAAGCTAAATATGGTCAATCTAAAATGCCATTCATATTTGGTTGCTTAAGATTAAAATCAATAAAATTTGAACTTAATTAAATTTACACTAATCTAGATATATACTAGACTGGCAATTACAATGTGTAGCATAGGTAAAATTTACATGTAAGATGGTATAATTCAGACTAGGTTGAATAAAAAGACATCACAGTAAATTTATAGTGGCCATATTCTCCAAAATAAAAAACTAATATTCAAGTTGTTCCCATTTCTTTGGGTATAAGAAAGTACCTAGCTATGTAGTATGTATACAGAAATACTAGGCTCTGACTTTTAGGGGTGACAAGACATATTTGAAACCAAGACTAATTTGGAAATTTAGAATTTATGGTTGCTATATCTATAGTGCAATCAATATTTCATTAAAATATAGTTCTCTTATTACACTATTTTCTGGTTATCTTTAATCAAAGGGAATATCAAACTATTTAAAAGTGAGGCCTACAGATCCTGGCATTTTCCTTTTAAGTTAATCACTTCTCAAGTTATTATACTATGTTACTACTAAAATGTTTCTGAATATTCTATATGCCATACTACATAATTACTAAATAAGCAAACACATACTTTATAAAGTACACAAATGTCTTTATAGAAAGTAAAATAATTACACATAGGTATATCCTACCAATTTAAGATGGGACATGTTTTAAATTATTAGCTTCTTTTATTAAGGTAGAGAGAGAAGGAAGTACTAAATTGAAATACCTACCTTGCCGTGGGAACTGTTCAGCTAATTTCCTAAGGCTTGTTAAGCTGTCTGCACCAAGCTGACTTAATATTCCAGGAAGCATTTCTGTGATTGGTTTGGCTTCTGCATGACCAGTAATTGCAAAGGTATTAGCAGAGAGGGAAGCTTGGACTTTGGGATTGTTGAAATGAATAACTGTCCCATCATCTTTAATCATGTTCACCTGCATGATCACAGAAGAAGAATATACTTCACATGGTAGGTACAACTAAAACAGTATTTTTTTAAAAAGCAATTCGGCCAATTACGGTTTTATTGCTTGGTAGTTATGGAGTCCCAAGGTAGTAATTAGCTAAGCAGTGGACAGGGTAGATAAAGCCCCTACTAGTGAAAAGTAAATGGTGCAGTTGGCACAAATAACTAGGATAGTCAAGAAATAGTAATTTCATTATAGAATCTAGATTTTTTTCCCTTTTTTTTGCTAGAGGGCATGTGTGCTCACCAGAGACAGATAATAGAGGAAGAGGAGAAAGCATCCATGGGGAATGGTCACACTGCAACCCCCTCTCCTCCATCTCTCCCTCCCTTTGAGATCTGGGCACACACATGTGCCTGTTTCTCAAACTGCCAGGTCTGGGACCTGAACTGCAAGTCATCCATGTAAAATCTGGCTGCCTTAACCAAGAGGGCATGGAGCCGGCCTTAAGGTTTTAAATTAAAAAAACTTCCATGGGAAGGAAGTTCATACCTGCATTTTTTAAAAAAAATGAAATTAGCTATAACTGGCTTCATAATAAAATTACTAATTATCTTAATTTTCACTATCAAACAAAATCAGTGCAATGACCATTTGGCGGGGTAGCAGGTTACTTAGAGGATATAGTGGAGAGGAGTAGTAGTATATAGTAAAAACAGCCACTGAAAAATCCATAAAGAACACTCAGAAATTTAATCAGCTAGGTTTTTCACTCTGAACAATTAGTAAATTTACAAATATTTCAAGTTGTCTTCAAATGTCATTTTTTTAGAAGATTGTCAGTTCCGTTCTTAGATGAAGCTTCTCAAAAACCTTCAATAACCCCTGTAAATGTCATGAAAGCTCCCCCACCCACTTGCCTGGACACCTGAACATGTTTTATCAATAAATGGGAAACCTTTAAAATCATCCTCATTTTTTCTATAGCTCTCACCTATATAAACTGACTTCTTAGATTTGAGTTCATCTATTGCCTGGGACTTACTGAAATGGAAGGCTGAACATGTGCTATTTAAATTGTTACTTTTTCTATCTTATTCATTTACTTTCTGGTTGTGTGTGTGTGTGTGTGTGTTTTGGTAGAGTTGAATTGTATAAATTAACTGTGTAAATAGTATGGTCCTACTGTGTAGTTGATTCCACAGGGTAAGTTACCTTGGTGGTAACATGGTTATTATAAAAAAGGTTAGGAAGAGTTAACTCTTGGCTACTTTAGAAGCATTTCATGATCCATCCAAAAACTGCCCTTGTCACAATCAAGCAGAGATGCTGAGTGTTCTCCATGGTCAGTGGGAAGTGGGCTTTTCTTCCTCAGAGGTGATCATCACCACTGACAGCACCAGAAAGGAAGGGGAAGAAAGGGGCTTCTAAATTTCAGGCAAGACCTGGAACACAGAGAAAATAAAGGCAAATCCCTAGAAAATTATAACTAAGTCCCACAAACGATTTCCCAAATGTTTTTATGACAAAACCTAATATTTCAATTCTATACTTTTCCCTATTATATTTAAGGTTCTATTAAGTATACCATATACAGTAAGCATTCAATCCACCTATTCTTAACAAATGGCATCATGAGTTAATTTATATTAACTTTAGAGAAGATAAGTTCTTTCTTTTTTTTAGGAGAGGTTTTTGCTATGGGGCACATGTGCTTGCCAGAAAGACAGAGAGACAGAGAGACAGAAAACGAGAAATCACCCTCTGTGGGGATGGCCACGCCGCACCCCCTTCTCCTCCATTCTCCTCTCGGGATCTTGGGCATGCACGCACACGCACCTGGTGTGAGTTTAAGCCACGGGGTCTGGGACTCGAACTGTGCTCAACTACACAGGAGGCCAGCGACATAGCCATTACACCAACTGCTGGTTCCCTTGGGGGGACCAATGGTTATGCTGCTGGACACCTATGTAGTCAACTGTGGTTCAAGTCCCCTTGGGACCAGCATATGGTGTAATAGCTATGTTGCTGGACTCCCACGTAGTAAAGTGCGATTCGAGTGTTGGGACCTGGTGGCTTAAACTCATGCCAGGTGTGTGTGTGTGCGTGCCAAAGATCCCGAGAGGGGAATGGAGGAGAGGGGGCTGCAGTGTGGCCATCCCCCCAGGGGGTGATTTCTAACTTTCTGTCTCTCTCTTTCTGGCGAGCACACACGCCCTATAGCAAAAACCTCACAAAAAAAAAAAAAAAACAAAAAAAAGGGCCCAA